TACATACAGCAACACAACACCTCTGCAAACACCACAAACAACTGTTTTAAAGAAAGACAGAATAGCATGCACACACAAAACAGTTTGTGGTATAAATGCAGCATAAAGCGGAGGGACACTAATAGCTTCACTACTAATTAATTCAATTGAATGTAAAACCGAATGGAAAGGTACAAAATGTAAAAACCAAACATTAACACATTTGCCAACATTGAATATAATACAACACAATAAACAGTATTTGTTGGTGCAATGAGCTTGTCATTAAAGAAACATCACAGGCCAAAGTTGCTAAACCTTTGAAATATGAACGCTCTATACAGTGTATGAATTTTGTTCATAGAACCAAGGTAACTAGCTTGACATTCACACAATATTCTCCCTTTCTGACTCTGAGTGTATTGTAAAGTGTTCTAAAGATAAAAGCTTCAAAAGCAGCGCCACTAGGCCATTTTTAACACTGTGACAGATATCCGCTCTATGGCCTACAGCAATCCCTAGAACCAACTGTCAAATTCACAACAGTAATTAAACCAGAATACTCCCTTTAAACACAATATCTAACACAGCCCAGCCACTGCCCATACTGGTCTATGGATGTAGTAAGACAAGAACAGCAACAAATAAGCTAAACATGTTTTATAAACCATTAATCTACCAAGCGTGGCTCGTTAGTCAGCGTAGCAGGGATAGCTTAGAGGAATGAATTCTGCCAAGACATTGGGTACCAGCTATTTACACCAACCTTCATACCAAGACATTCGACAGACTAGGGCTGATGGGCCACTCATCCACCCCAGCAATGTGCAGTAAAAGTGATCCTATTTTATGCCACAAAATGTGAGGACCGTGGTAGATACACAGACACAAAACATATACTAATGTGTGTGCGTGGTTCATGGTTAAAGAACACATACATTTATTGCTGACCCTATAGTGTTAAAACCACCATCTAGCCCCCCCACCCCCTTCTCCCCTACATATAGTCAAATCTTACCTGTATTTGAGCCTGCAGCTGCTGCCTCTGCCCTTGATCTGCCTGCTGACATCATCAGAATTGGTGATCTGTACCAATCACAATGCTTCCCCAAAAGGATTGGCTGAGACAGTCAAGGAGGCAGAGCCAGCGTTTACTGCAAAAAGCCTGAAAGGAATGATTCTACTCACTAGAACATATACAATGAGCTGTAATTGATCTGGTAACTATAGTGTCTCTTTAATAATGGTTTCAAAACAAACAATTCAAATTTTTACATTTAAATCTCATTTTTATTGACAGAATATACACAGAAATACTATTTATTGAAGGCAGAAGCCCCTGGTGGGACCCATTTGCTGTAGTTTATCTGGGACAAAAACATTATTAGGACACAGCAATAATCAGCTACACTACTACCTGCTTCTGGCTACAATACTCAGACTGTACATATAGAACTTTCAGCTCATTACATCATCCTGAGTGACACACAAAGCTACCAACCAGCCCTTAACAGAAACCCAATCCCAGAACTGACACCACTGCATACCAGCCACTCGCACACCACTTAGACCTACCATTGGCATGAAGCCACTCATCTTCAAAATGTACATCAGCCATGGCAAAGTCAAGCCCCCAGGCACAGCAGGCACCCAGAACTCACACCCACCGGGCGCAGCAGGAACCCCAGCCTCAAATCCACTGGGCACAACAGGCACTCCATAACAAATTCACCATCCTCTCCCCCTGTCACAGCTGGACGTCTCCCAGTCTCTCTCTCTCTCCCCCCCAGTCTCTCTCTCTCTCCCCCCCAGTCTCTCTCTCTCTT